GCTTGTGTGCATTTCTGTCTGCCCCTGATTAGGTCATAGATGCCTTTAAATTTCATATTTTTACTTCTTCCAGTTAAAATTACACTTACAATAAATTGCCGCTTGCTATTTTCCTCATTTTAAAATGTTGCTATTAAAGCATTAATTAGACATGTTCTAAATTACTATAAGCACTCATTAACCCCGATCATGCCTGGGTGCTCACTGACACACTCACTTGCTTCTTCATTAGTAACACATTGCTAGTACTCGGTTGGTTCCTCCTTCTGCCTTCAGAAGTGCTTTAAGTCATCATGGCACAGATTCAGATTCGGCATCACATCCATGATTTCAAACTCCTGTTCGAGCACATCCCAAAGGTGCTCTACTGGAGAGATTGAGATCTGGTGAATGTGGAGTACATATGAATCGATATTTGGTAAAAAATAAAAAATAAAAAAATAAATAAATAAATAAATAAAAATGGGACAAGAAAATTACACCACCATTGTATGGATGCTTTCAGGTGGTTGAAACTCATCAGAGCAGGCAACATTTTTCAAATCTTCTGTGACTCGATGTGAATTGTCGTCTCAAGGCGCTTTATATTGTGTGGTAGACCCTACAATAATACAACAGAGAAAACCCTAACAATCATATGACCTCCTGTGAGTAAGTGCTTTGGCCACAGAGGGAAGGAAAAACTCTCTTTTAACAGGATGACACCTCCAGCACAGCCAGGTTCAGGGAGGGGTGGCCATCTGCCGCAGTTATATGAGCAATTATTTGAGTTACTGTTGCCTTGCTATCAACTCAAAGCAGTCTGGCCATTCTCCTCTGACCTCTGGCATAAACAAGGCATTTTCACCCTGAGAACTGCAGCTCACTGATATTTTCTCTTTTTCGGCCCATTCTCAGGAAACTCTAGAGATGGTAATACACTAGCACAGCAGATCAGCACTTTCTGCAATACCACGCCACAATCAAAGTCACTGAAATCACTTTCTTATTTCTACACTTTCGTCTCTACTTCAAAGATTGCACTTGACTGATTGAATCATTTATGTCCATTAAACCTCCTCTTAATACACTGTTTCATTGGAGGACTTTTTTTTAATCTTTGGTAAGTGGCTGTTTTATTTATTTAATACTTGTTTATTTATCCCTGTCTTCTTTGCTTTTGATCCTTTTAGATTTTTGTATTTATGTATTCATGATCCGTGCTCGTTTTATGGTTGGTTTTTATTTTTGTTCTTTTGTATTTTTTAATTATTGTACGAAGTTATTCTAAGAAAAAAACTTTGCAACTTTGTTTGCTCTGTCACACATTTTTCTAGTTAAAAAGAAAAGTAAAGCAAATATTGTTTGCATTGCAGTCTGATTGGATGAGGTTACTTCAAGTGGAAAACAGATGCCGTCTTGTTTATTGTTAAAAATCATTTGTGTTTTCCAACACTGAAGATGTGCAGTAAAGCCATATCACATATAGTTTGAAGCTAAATAACAAAATATGAACAACGTCACCAGCAGCTATTTTAATTTCAATAACCAGCAGCAACACAGATGCATGAGTGAACACACACAATTAAGACCATTAGTGAAACACAATGTAAAGCAAATCACAGACATGCAAGCACTAAGTTTAGTCTACTTAT